GAGATGAACCATATTTATTTAAAGATGTTTTCGACCCAGCTGCTATTATTGTTCATGCTTCATTTTCTGGTGCGCAAAACTCTTTCTTATGCTTGGCAAATGACTTTTACGAAAAACCTACAAAGTTATACGAACCACCAAGTGGAAGTATTTCAGACTTTCAAGTATGGTTTACTACAGATGGAAGAAAAAGAAATAATTCCATTATACCATGCGTTTTACTTAGAACTTAGTTTCATATACAACTACTATCGAACGGTAAAAATATAATTTTTAATACGGTTGAGGTGTTGGATTTGGTTGCCAACTAGACTGTGGTGCAGGTTCAGGCTGTTGTATAACAGGAGCTTGTTCTTCTGGTTCAGGGTCTTTAGGTATAATACCAACAAACTGACCTACTCTTTTACCAATATTTTTGACTCCGTTCCAAATTCCTCTTCCTACGGTTTTTATTCCATTCCATATACCTCTTCCAACATTTCGAAAGAAGTTTCCAATACTACTGAAGAAACCCATTTTACTATATGTAAAAATCTAATGTCCGCCTAGTCTCTTACGTTTCCTGTTGAGTTCCATAGCATTCTTTAACTGGAGCTCATACATTCTGTTTCTCCTCTGGTAGAAAACATATTCTGGGTCAACTCCTGTGTTCGCGTCATCTGCATAAAGTTGTTTATATCCCACTTCAGGGTTTGTATAAAACTCTTTCCATCTCAATATTGCATACCATGGTGGCAAACCTAACGCAGCGTCATTTGACATGGCAGTTTGCATTTGTACATCTGTTGGCACTTGACCATAGTTTGCCATTGCAGTTTGTATTCTAACTTCATTTGGAATATTCTCTGGTTTGGTTGTCCAGGTTGCTGTGCATTCGCTAAGTTCTGTGCGTCCATTTAATATTAGATAAAAATATCTCTTACGAGTACATATACTGAACATTTGCTGGCATTGGTTCATCTTCATATTCTCTATATCTTTCTGCCACGTCAAATAAGTAAATGACACAATGGAAAAAACCTAAAACAAGTAGTCCTATTTCAAACCACATTTACTTACTAGTAAAATTTCTTTGTTATGACACTTTCTCCAGTTTATAGACCTCTCTCATATTCTATCTTATCGTATCTAAACTCATAGTCATGTATGTCCTCTAACATCTCATGACACTTTCCAAACCACTTTTATCGGATGTAAAGTAAAAGCATGGATGGTTATGTAAAACGTCTAAAGTTTCTAAAGAGTCTCTCAAAGTCCAGTCTACTTGGTATTGAAAATCCCATGTGTTATAGAACGGCGGGTCCACTATAAAGAAAACATTTTCCTTGTCTTTATATTTTTCATACAACTCTGTCCAATGACATCTCACAAACTCTATACCCTCAATATATTTTTCTATGTTCTCTTTGAAAACATTTGTATAGTTAAGATATAAAACTTTTGACATAAGTGTTTCAATGTCATGAACTCTTATAGCACCACTATATAATAGTCTAGCAGATATACTATCCCAGTCAATATACTCTGCCTTTTTCAAAACCTCTCTGACAGTATTTTTCTTATCTAATGGTATACGTTCCATCTTACCTATAGGTATCTTTTCTTTTAACTCTTTCAATATTTTGTTTGTGTCTGGTATATGTTTGAGACGGTTCATATAGTTGTCGAAGTCATTGCATATAATCTTTGAGTCAGGAAATATTGTATGGCACAAATGAGATATATAGAAACTTCCACCGAACAAGTCTACAAATGTTAGACCATTCGGTAGTTTCTTAAGTTCTCTCAATAGAATATCTTTACATCTACTCTTATTTCCAAAGAAGGGTAACGGTGGTTTTGTAAAATTCATTTTATATTTAATAAAAATGTTTTTTTTCCTGAAAAGTGACAGATGTTTTATTGTGACTTCTTCGTAAAGACTTTGTTGAGATTTCTTCGTAAATGAGTGTAAATGACCCAAAAATATATTTTAGGGTAGAAGGGTATATCTAACCTCTTTTCTAACCTCTTTTCTACCCTCTTGAATTTTCATGAATTTCTTCGTAAAGACTTTGTTAAGACTTCTTCGTAAAGACTTTGTTGAGACTTCTTCGTAAAGACTTTGTTAAGACTTCTTCGTAAAGACTTTGTTGAGACTTCTTCGTAAAGACTTTGTTGAGACTTCTTCGTAAAGACTTTGTCAAGACTTCATCGTAAAGACTTTGTTGAGATTTCTTCGTAAATGACCCTAGTAGTATATTTTTGGTGTAAATTTCATGAAAATTCAAGAGGGTAGAAAAGAGGTTAGAAAAGAGGTTAGATATACCCTTCTACCCTAAAATATATTTTTGGTGTAAATTTCATGAAAATTCAAGAGGGTAGAAAAGAGGGTAGAAAAGAGGTTAGAAAAGAGGTTAGATATACCCTTCTACCCTAAAATATATTTTTGGTGTAAATTTCATGAAAATTCTGAGTAAAATGACAGATGTTTATATGACACTTTCTCCGGTTTATAGGACCTCTCTCATATTCTAAACATCTTCGGGGCTAGAGGGCACGAAGTGCCTGGAAGCCCCACTTCCCTTTTTTTTTTTTTTTTTTTTTTTTTTTTTTTAAAAGACAACAGAGAAAACAAAGGATTATCAGCTACGATAAGATGTCTGAATGAACATGAAAAATGATTCAATATTTGAACATTTAAGGGTCCACTGTAAAAATTGAAAGTCTCTCAAAATTGAGAGGCGATTTGCAAATAATCGTTATCGTCATTTTTCGAAAATCCACTTTTCCTAGTGTTCTGATTAATATTATGTGAATACAACAATGAAGCATATGTTTCAATAAGATGGTAATATATTCTATCACTTCAAATCTCATAAAAATTGCAAAATCAGTGAGTTTTATAAGAACATGATTTTTTCGAATTTTTTCGCTTTTGGATGCGTGTTTTGAAAAATAGATATTTTCGAATTTTAATTTTATCTTAAAAAAAAAAAAAAAAAAAAAGGTAGTGGGGCTTCCAGGGGCTGCGCCCCTTCTAGCCCCGAAGATGTTTAGTAAAAAATGAGGTTTTTATTCGGAAAATTGTTAGTCTTCTGGTGTGAATTCGGAGGACTCTTCTTGGATAGAGTCTTGTGTTTCCTCCTCCTCTTCTTCTTCCTCCATTGCTTCTGGGAAGAAGCCTTCTTCTGGGTCGAAAACATTATATAATGTGTAATTGAATGACACATTATATCTTTCTTTGAGTTCGCTCCTGACAAAGAACTTAGTTCCAGGAATACAGAAGACTTCTGTGCGTTGGAAAAGCTGATGTCCTGGAACAAATTTGGCAATTAGAGACTTCTTTTTTCCGAATTGTTCAGGAGTTTCCATGACGACAGTAACAACATCTCCATCTGCGAGGTCTTGTTGTTGTTCGGAAAGGTAAAGAGCAATGATATAAATGGTTGCTGCGTTGAATTCGAGAAAGTCGAATTCAAATTGTGTAGTCGTATAGCAGTCAAACCATTTTGTACAGTTGTCTCCGAACTCGTCAATGTATTCATCTTGGTCATATCCGTAACTAAAGACTTGGAATTCGGCAATTCTCTTGTCGAATGACCGTTGCATGTAACGAGGAAGATTTTGACGAACTTGGTATAAAGTTCTCAACATTATAAGCTTAGTAAATGTTGGAAAATACTGAACTAAGACATCGCTAAGCTCAATTGGACTTGGAATTGTCTTAGTAAGTTCAATTGAACTAGCAATTGCTTTGTTCAGAACTTCACAGAACTGAGTATTGTATATAGCGTCTGGTTGTGTGTTTTCTTCGGCGTCTTTGAGATATTTAGAGCAAATTTGTTGAAGAATTTCTCTTAATTCGCTGTTAGACTTTTTGGCGGTTATTCTAACAGCTGTGCCAGTTCTTGGAGGTTGTGGGGCTTTGGCTTTGGTTAGCGGTTGAGAATTGTTAATGTTGGCTTCCATTAGACAAAAATAAACTGTTTTTTTCGGACTACTCATAGAAAAGTTTAAAATAAACCGTTTTCGTCAACGGAGACCCCCTCTATTTTTTTATTTTATTTAATAGTTACCGTTGGAAAACCGTTCCATCTCAAATATTGAATGAACTATAAACGTTTTTTGTTTTCTATATATACTTTTTTGTCCAACGGTAAAACTTTTTACACAACGGTTTTTGAGAGTCGTCGCCGTTGACTTTTTTGTAGAGCACTCAAAATAGTATAACTTTGTCCGGACAAGTAAGGGTCTATCGTCGCTACAGGAAAAGTTACAGGCGTTCCAAGGAAGTATACTTTGAGAAGCCTTTTCCCCCTTATAGAATGAGATAAGACGGTTATTTTACAAAACTGACAACACTTTGACCGAGTAGTTTTTTGAGCTGAACAAAAAGTGTCATATAAACATCTGTCAAAAACCGCTTTTTAACTTCACTTAAAATGCCACGTAAGCTACGTAAGAATATACGTAAGAGGAAGAGAGCATTGAAACATCCAATAGTAAAACTGACACCACAACAACAGTTGCAACAACAAATTATGAATGACCCCACTATGTTGCAACAAATGTCAAGCAATCCTATGCTTTTAAACCGAGTTGTTGGTGCACAGAGTGGAGGTTTAAGAGCGGCACTTTTAGCGAAAATGGCAGGCTATGGTGGAGCTGCAGACGGAACAGCCTATAACCCTCAAAGTCAAATGAATTTAAGTTCACTCAAAAATCAAATAACAGATGTCAAAAAGTCAAACATAGACATACAGAAGCAAATAAGTGAAAACGAAAAGAAACTAGAATATGACAGACACACAAAGAAACTCAATGAGTTAAACGTAGAGAAAAAGAAGAAAGAAGAACAACTGAAAGAACTAAGTACAGAGGAATATGCGAAAAAAGTGTCAGAAAAAGCAGCAGAAGTAGCAAAAATGGAACAAGATGTTGTAAATTTGAAAAACCATACTACTCGATATAAAGTACTGAAAGATGAAGAGATAAAACAAAAAGCCCTGAAGACATATATGGATAGCGATGAGTATAAAAAGGAAGTTGAAGCAAATGTAAAGGCAGAAAAACTTTTACAGTTGCAAAACCAAACCGTACAGTATGAAAACTTAGCACAAGAAAGTAAAAATAACGACGCGGCTATGCAAAAGGCAATGAAAAGCTCAGAATATATAAAAGCTAACAATGACTGGTTAGATGCCCAAGCCAACGCTAAAGCAGCCCAGCTTATAGGGTCAATAAGGACAAAAATACAAGCGGATGAAGACAGTTCAAATGAAGCTTTAACAAATGCTGACTTTAAGAACGCCTTCGAAGCTCTTCATAGTAAGGTGAAACAAGTGAACGACTTCTCATCTGGAAAGAAACTGAAGTCTGAAGGTTTCGACAAAGAGTTAAAAGAAGTAGCACAAAATATGACGAAAATAACAGATGCAGCAACGAGACAGGCAGTTCAAAGTGCCTATGACGCCGTTAGAGCAACTGTTGTGAAAAGTCAAGAAAAAGAGTTACAACAGACCAAAACAGACCTAGTAAATGCTTTCTTAAGAACGAAAAGTCAGGTAGGACATTACGCTGCAGATGGAACATATGTGCCAGCTGGTGGAATTTATATACCACCAAACCCTCCAAGAGAAGCACCTGCACCAGGACTACCTAACACACTTACATCGTCACATGGACATAGACACAGGCATGCACCAAAACCAACACAACAACCAACACAACAACCAACAGTTCAAAACACTGCACCACAACAACAACCAGCACAACAACCACCTCCACAACCAGCACAGCAACCAACAGTTCAAAACCCAGCACAACAACAAAAACAAACAGAGCAAGGACATAAAAGAAGTAGAGAACAAGGAAACCAAGATTTCTTAAAAATGCTTAAAGAAGACTATGGTTACCCAGCTACTATTGACTTTAGTGACAGATATAAAGAAGCTATTAGAAAGTTCAAGGAAGGAAATACTGACCCGAACCTATTTAGCTTTATGGCTCTGCACCAAAGGGGATATAATTTCAAACCTGGAAAATACAAGCTCGCTAAGGGATATGATTTAATAGCATATCATCCAAATGACATGAACGAATTTACTCCGAGATATTTGATGTCAGAGCTAAATGACAATTTAACTCTCTTCATGAAACGCGTAAAAAATAGAGACGGAACGAAAGAAGAAAGGTTTATGAGTCCGGATGACTTAGAAAGGGAACTTGTTGAAAACGGTCTCGGAATATATGAAATGCCAGCAGATGAGGTACAAGAAACTCCACAGGAAGAACTAGTTCAGATACAACCAGACATGGAAGAAATAGTTCAGCAACAACAGCTAGAAGAGCCTGAAGGAAACGAACAAGTCACTCCTTTGGAAACTAACTTCACAGAACTAGATGAAGATTTGGAACAGCCGAAAAATCTTGACCCTCAACAAGAGTATGCGGAGAATATGGAATATTTCCAAGAGTCTAAAAAAAATTCGGCTGACATAGTAGAAGAATATCGAAAAATGTTTGCCGACATACAAAAGACTCCAACACCAGATGAAAATATTCAGCATAGAATGGAAGTACTGAAAGAAAATGTACACAAATACAACAACCCTTTTTACTTACGAGCATTTAACGTTCAATCTTCGGATGAACTCGGTGAAGATAAAAGGTTAAATTTCAAGAAAACATATAGAAATGAAACATTGTTTAAAGTTCATTCAGAACCTAGCCAAGATGGAAACAAACCTACTTTTGTTTCTGCAGACGATGGAACTACAATGAGATGGGGTCATAAAGCTAACCCGGATAGGTGGTTCATAAACTTACAACCTCAATTCCAAGAAGTTGTAGACGCAATGGAAGTGAATGGTGAACCAGATATAGCTGGTATTTTCAGCGCGGCTTTAATGCCATTGAAAGATATGAAACATGCAGATATTTTGGACCAGTATGAAATGAACATGGCTGATGGAAATATAACACCTGACGTTCTAAAACATTTATCTCAAAGAACTACACAGAACCATAGAGATGGTATATTTGGTGAAGAGTTTAGAAAGAAAGTTAGGGAGGGAGAAGGAAGAGAACCTATTGTACATGACCTTGCAAACGAAAGTTTACAAAATGTCATAAAAACTTACTTTGCAGACAATGAACCGAGAAGGGATGAATATTTAAGAAAACTCAAATGGACAGTACCAATGAAATGTTAGTATTGAAAAACATGTTCCTTGACAAAATAAAACCAACTACAGAAATAAACGACGCAAGACTGAAAGATTGGGTAGAAGCTTTCCCATTCACAAAAGATATAGTTGGTAACATGGAAAGAAAACCAGAATGGCTACAAAAACATATATTTGGAAACGAGCATATTCCATATGGACAGGCACTGTTTGAAGAGCTTGAACCGGAAACTCAGGAAAGAGTCATGCAAACAATACGCGAAGACTCAAATACAGACTATGACAAACTCTTTCTAGGATATAGGTTACCTGAGATGGGCGACCAGAGCCAAAAGGCAAAAAGGACATGGGAAATTTGCAACATACTAGATGAACATAATGCAAAGATGCAACAACTTCAAGCAGAGGGCAATGAAGGAAAAAGAAGAGTTAAAAACTCAGTCAGGAAGAAAGTAAAGCTTGGTCCACGTGGGTTCTATTATGACATATAAATCCAACTATTCTATATTTTTACTCATATGAAATGTACGCCGCTCAGAATATAACGCCAACAGTTTTGGATGCTATGAATGGAAATGTTTCCGAATGGTATAACGAATGCGACAATGCCATTAGAAGGTCAGAAATAGTTCCTGGAACTTACGAATATACAACTGCTGTTTCTTATGGAAACGTAGGTGAGTTTGGAGAAGGTTCTTCAACAACAGTAGATATTGCTTGCGACAGGTTTCATATAATTTCTATTGACAACTCTTTCTTATACGTGGAACAAGACATTGAAATAAAACCTTCTGCCAAGTTGTCTGACAAGAAAGGTTGCAATGGAATTTTCTATGTCGGATACCAATATGCTCCAGAAGTTTTCATGGGATATAAGATATATTCTAACTCTGACTTAGTTCAAACAGTAACATGGGCAAACTATGAATGGTTCGCTTTGAGAAACTCAGTACAACCACAAGCTAGAGAACAAACAGACCAGTATGCAACTATTGAGAAAATAAGAAGACTTGACCCTAACGTTCCAGGAGTTTATGTTGACCTTTCTGGACAAACTGCAGCAGCAGTAACCAAAGTAAAATTGAAACTTAGAGTTCCTTTGTCATCTTTCCTCATCTTCAGGTTTTTAAGATACTTGCCAAACTGGGCAGGAAAAATTTCTATCGAACTTACTCCAAGCAAAAATAACTTAGTCATTGCACCAACACAAGACCCATTCACTCTTACTGTAGCTGGAACTGGTGGAGCCAAGTTCTGTGACTTTTGCAAAGACAAAGTTGACTTAGACTTTGGTTTCTCAAACCTCAACACTGAAGTAAACTACTACTTCAATGCTGCTGGAACTGCTTGGGACCCAGTTAAGTTCACATGCGAAAAGTTTGAATGCAAGAGAATAGAAAGCAGACTTGCAGTCTATATGTTGGACCCAGATATTTCAAATGCTTTAGCTGCCAAATATATTGCAGTTCCACTTATGTTCCCTATACACCAAATATCTGTCAAAGACTTTGCAGGTGAAGTTGGAAACCAAAGTGCTGAACCAGGTGCAAGAACAGATATTGCCTTAACAACTGCAATGAAACATGCAGATACTATGTTTGTACTGTTCAGACGAACTATAAATGACTATTCTTGTTTCTACAACCCTGGTATTAAATATCATATAAACATAGATGGCAAATATTATCCAAGAGAAGAATATTCTACAGTTGAGGATATGAGGTCATACAACTTGACATTAGATGCTATGAACTTTAACAACAATTTCACAACAACCATTAACCCTGAAATGCAAAGTTCTATTATGCCATATGTGAAAGTATGGACTCATACAGGAGGTCAAAAAACTCAATATACAAATGGAGACGTTCAAACTTTTGGCTTGGCATTCCATTTGCTGACTCAGAAGACTTTATGGGTGGTATTTCAACTGTTGGTACAGTTCAAATACAATATACTGGTGACAGAGACGGTCCAAATGAATTGAAAGCAAAGAAGTTTACAAAACCAATAGCACTTTTCACGGAAGATGCTCTTTTGAAGATTCGTTCGATGAAACCTGCTGGGGCTCCTCAGATTGGTAATAACGACAGCTTCCATCGAGCAGATTTTGGCAGCAGGTCAGTAAGTTGTTCTTGAACTGACTTCTCTCCGTCAAATATTGACAGTACGCCAGTTTTGACATAGTATTGTATTAAAAAACTTTCCTTTAGAAATATCGGTCAGTTTTGTTGTTATATTTTTGTCTGCTTCAAGAACTTTCACCATCTCGGTTATACCAACTTTCTTTGCTTATGAAAAATTTTTGGTTCAGCAAAGACTGCTATTCTATAACATTTTCCATTGTTTGTATAAAGAACTACTCTGTCAATGAACTTGTATTGTTTGTGTGTGTAAACTTTGTTCTGCTTCAATTCGAAGAGATACTCAAATACGTCCATCTTTTTATTCTAAGTAAAATGTCATTTCCGAAAAATAGAAGCGTAAGTGTTTCAAAAGGTTTAATGGCGATGGCAGATGTGAAGTTAAATTCACCAACTCAAACAAACAGTCAAAGTGTTGTTGTCAATGTCAAAGAAAGAGATGTTGAAGTGGGGAAACCATACGAAGACGAAGATGGTATAACAATAGTTCCTGTAAAAGAACAACCAACATACCCTGAAGTTAGCAGAGACTTAAGTTCTGTTGCAGATATTCGAAACGACTACCAACAACTTAAAGACAAACTTAAAAACTCAGGAGAAATTTGTCAGGCTTTGGGTATAATGTTAAACTTGGTCGAACACAACCCTGTAAAAGTGAACTCATATGTCATTGCACCTCATGAAATTTTGAAAGAACTATTGAAACTTTTGACAGAGGCAGACGATATAAACATCAAAGAAATAGAACCCGACATTGCTTGCTGTGGTGTTTCATACAATGTCATTGACAAGATATACGTTATGAAAGGAGGTGAAACGTTGAACTTAAAATATAGTTTCCCAGACGTCATAAAAATATTTGACGACCACAACATTTCATTAAAATTTACTTGCTAAGTAAAAATGGCAGAAAGACATAGTGGTTTATACTATTACGACTAAAAACCCTGAGTCATATAATTCTATAACAACAAACTTACAAAGTCCTCAAGGACGATATTGTAAACTGACCTTAAACACGATGACGACTAAAGCCTGTTTTGCTCTTTTGACACCAGAAGACTTTGTTGTTGTGAATGGTAAAAAATACTTCTTTGAAGATACTTACTCAGATATACCACCAACAGGTTTTGTTGACTTATTTAATACTTTAAGGACGGATGTAACATGTGCTGCAACTAGAGCAGGTTTCATTATGTTTGGATGTCCGACTGAGTTTAGTATAAACGATATGAGCTATAATACAAAACTTATATCTGGTTTTTACTACCAACAGTTTCCTATAACAGGAAAAGGTGTCATACAAGGTTTGTCTGTTCCATTGACTTAAGTACACCTATTTTATATATTGTTTCAACTTAGGTTCAAAGTGCTATTCGAATGTCGACAGAAACTACTATGACCAAAAGATACTCATGCGTATAAACAACACATTCTCTGCTGGTTTGCCTATTGTTCATTCGAATGCAGAGTTTTCAGCTTTAGTAAACTCAAACACTTTAGCAAACATAAACTTAACCTTAGTTGACGCAAACTTTGTTCCTGTAAAACTTTTATGTCCTATGTATTTGTCAATGACGGCAGAAAGTTTCGAATTGGAAGATGCAACTGGTGAAAGTATTGTATTACAAGAACAACTTCAACACAAATAGCTCAAGAACAACAAATGCAACAAATGGAACAACAAAGTCAAGAATAAAAAAAATATTTTTTTTATTTTTATAAAAATGTACAGAATAGACGTTTCAGATTTTTATGACTTCCAAGCGTTCAGAAATATGTGTCCATTTAGAGACTATAAAAAGCAGTCGAGAATTTGAAACGTTTAGTCATTTATGTCGACTCTGCCCAGAATGTTATGTCATGAAAGAATGGGATGTTGTCTTTAACAAACCAAGAACAACCATAGTTTCAGAACAAGAATGTAGACAGAAACTTAAGAAAATAAAAGTCGTACAAGTTGGTATGAAGATGTTAGATGCTTGGGATATCTTATTGTCAAAGTTAGAAGATTTTCAGTTCGTGGTATAAAGTTCTATACACCATCTCCAAACTTCTATTCTATCTTCACTGGATATAAATACGAACAAGTAGAATGGAAAGAAAATGTTATAGAAGCTTGGTTAGACCATGTCAAAGAAATTATATGCAATGGAAACGAAAGAGTCTATGAGTATATCTTATGTTGGTTGCAAACATCTTACAACATCCAAGTGCTAAAATGAAACTGCTCTCATCATAATTGGAAAACAAGGAACAGGTAAGAACACTTTCTTTACAGATATTTTGTGCAAACTGTTAGAAGGCTATTCGAACCCTAATATATGACAAACTTAGAAAAACATCTGCGGTAAATTTAACTCTTCAATAGAGAATATGAAACTTATAGTATGTAACGAACTTCAAAGTATAGATACAACAAAGGTTTTAAACTCAGATGCTTTGAAGAGTCTTATAACAGACAAAGTTGGAGTTGTTGAAAGAAAGTATAGAGACCAAAGAGTTTGTGAAAATGTTGCAAACTTCGTCATGGTTTCAAACAATGTTGTTCCCGATGAAGTTAGAAAGTTCTGAACAGAAGATATGTAGTTGTCAGAACGTCAGATTTCTCATATGCAAGATACAGAATATTTTGACGACTTAGCAGAAACTTTGACACCTAACTTTTACAACCACTTGTTCTCATATTTCATGACATTAGATATTTCTAACTTCAATCCAAGACAAATTCCACATACGAAGAGAGACAAACGTTGTTAGAAGCAAACAAGAGTATATGAACTGTTTATAGATGAGACTAACTTTGAGTGTTTAGATGAAAGGTCATTGTACGATTCATATAAACAGTATTGTCAAGAGTATGGTTATATGGCAGCTTCTAAACGAACATTCTGGCAAATGTCAAAAGTCTTTTAGATGTTCAGAATGGTGTATATACAAAGAAAATTTTTCTGAGTAAATTTTAAAAAAAATATTTTTTTATCCGATAGAAAAGATGACGAAATATATTTCAGTCAACAAGTACATGACAGAAGTCAAAGAAGAACTAGACCCATTCGCTTATTTGAATGTTTACTTCTACCATTTTGAAAAGTCTACATTTGACAAAGTTTGGAACATCGAACCAGTTAAGTTGCTATTGGACTAAAAATGGTGCGAAATTTGAAGACTTAGACATAGAAGGTTTGTTAGCAGTCAAAGAAAATTTTGACAGAAGGTTTTCAAACCTTAAAGAAGGCAAAGCATACAAACTTGTTATACTTATGAACCAAAGAAAGCAGACGACTATGAATATTTGAGTCTAAGATAGTTGAAGTTCAAGGTAAATTGGGTAAAAAGATTTTAGAGTCTAAGCCAGTGTTTGCTCTAAAGAGAGTTGGCGTAAGGATCGTCCCCAGAGGAGTTGGTAGAATTGCCAATCCAAGGACGATTTGTCCTCCCAGGCATTGAGGATGTATCTGCTCGTAGAGTCTCATGACCTCTGCCTTGCACCAGACACCCTCTCCCTTGGAACGTAAGGCTTCTTCGAAGTGCTCGAATGCGATTGCTGCGTGACCATACTGAAATGACACTTTTTGTCCGTTTGGTCAATGTTCGTGTCTCGTGCCATAGTCGACGAAAATACAGACAAACAGGTTATATATGAGTTTGAGACCAAGAATGGTGTAACTCGACCTGTCCGATTCAAAGACTCCGAGGGCGACCATGAAATTAAACGGAAATTACCTAGGAAGGAATATAAAATGGACTGGTTCCACCACCTCCACCTCCACCACCTTTACCTGTTCCTCAAGTAAATAAGCCTTTCCGCGTTCCAAGAATTCCCACATTTTAATTCAAATTCGAATAAAAATTTTTTATTTCATGCAATGTTTTATTTCTGTGCCGTCTTCAAGTATGCCCCAGTACTTACGCTTGGAGAAGGACATGAACTTCGGTGAAAATTTTGTCCAATTTGAATTGACCCATCTTCTCACCGACCAACCCATCTTCAATGAGTTTGTTGTATCCTTCTTCGTTCGTCATGAGTGCGTCAATGTTCTCATAGTAAACCTTCACTTTGGATTTGACTTCGGAGAAGAATTTGTTGTAGTTGTCAAGGACTGCCTTTGCGAACTGAGGTTAAGACCAATGTTCGACAATAGGTTTTAATGTGGTTACTAAGCCACTTTGACCTTGAGTGAATTCGTACTTCAAAACAACAAAGGAGAAAACCTTTCAACAAAGTTGTCGACCTTCTCATAATGTTTACTCTTCATCTCTTGAGTTTTCTTAATGGAATATCCCATGTCGAATTCATAAGCAATTTGAGTGTCATTGCAAGTTTGGGGTTTGAAGCTTTCCTAATATCATAAGTTGTTGTATGACTTTCCAACTGTATAGTTCCTTCCCAGGAACTCACCATCTTCGTTTGGAATTCCAGTCGGAATATATATGGACAAACCTCATGTATGCAGCGTTAAGGTCGACATAGTATATCTTTTCGTTTGAGTCGAACTTGTCGCAACAATTGGTCCAGTTTGTGGAAATTCAAGTGAGTCTCTTATCTTCTGAGAA